AGAACTTATTTCTTAGACTACGAGCGTTGGCATATAAAACTCTTAAGTAGAACAGCCTATCTACTGACTGACTATCCGAAAACCCGCTAGCCAGAGATTTTCCTCACCGTTTTGCCGACGGGTTTCTAGTTCAGCTAGTGCTCTCTTCCCTTTTATTCTATCTTCGAGACATATCAGGTCTAACTCGGATTTCAGAGTTGTCGTGACGACGAGCGCCACTTAACAGGTGATCCCGTTGCTTCTCCGATCCTAGGATTACCTTAAGGAGTATGCATGTTCAAGGTTCAACATTGTCTTCGGTCCTCTTGCCTATTCTAACCAACTTTTTGACCTGAACTTCTTTAGAGTTATCTGGTAAGATACTACGAATATATTCTCTCAGATTCTCTAAATCACGAGTGTGTCTAATTTTCGGATCAAGGTCGTTTGACTCCAGTAATTCGCTCACAACAATATTAGATGTTACTTGATTTATCTTCTCAGTCACGCCAAAATGGGTTTCACTCTTACATCAGATTTAGGCAGTGTAGTATGTGACTCACAATGAGAGTCCATCAGTGAGTTACTAACTACCTGTGTACTGCCTACAGCTTTTCCCTTTCGTTTCGTTTCCTACGTAACGTAGTCCGTTTTTCATCCCTCAGGACATTGGAACTATTTGGAACGGTGACAGTTTTATCCAGTTCGTCGGTTTCCACTAAAGATGCATTGTTACCAATGTCAGTACCAGGTGGTATTACTCCCCTTGTTAACGTTAACGGAGATTGCACTTTTGCGTCGGCCAGAGTCGGTTGTTTGAGGCGTCGCGTAACAGTAGGTACTACACTGACACATTCGTCACTCTCAGTGCCCGTGTTTTCAGCGCATGTGCCATCGTTTTTCTTGCAGGCCAAGGCCAATAGGCCTATAGCCTCCTGAATTAGTACCTTTTTATCCGTACAGCAGAACATACAAAGCCAATGCGAGTTTGGCTTCGAGCATCTGTGATATGTCGTCGGACTTAGGCATGTACACATCACACTGCATTCCTACCTCAACGGGGAACAAACAGTTTGATTGCCCACAATTGTGAGTCTTACCAACCATTGTAATTCGATTTAAAAGGTTTAAAAACACACAATGATCGCAATGTGAACACAAGTGTTAGTCAAGGGGTAAAAAAAGGTAACCGGGATGAAAGTTGGCAAAATATTTCAAACTTTACCCAAAGTGCTCTTAGTCGAAGTAGGCCAAAAATACTTTTCGGTGCAATAAGTACCCAAATCAAGTATAATCACAACAAGTACGAAAATCACTGCACTTTTTGAAACTATTATTTTTTCTTTAATTGAATTCTTTCAGTTATAGTAATCCACAGAGTAAAGCTTTTTTTTCTGGAGAACTTTATTGTCTGTACTTAATGAGTACAGATAAATAAAACTAAAGGCACTGGTACTTAGCCTTCGCTATTGAATATATCTTTGAGAATATTTTGTATCCTTTAAGTGTTAAGATCTTTCTGTAGCTACTGAAGTCGGATTTTTTTTACTGTTTCTTTGTTTTATTTATATAGAAACAAAACAAATCTATGGCGCAATTGAAACATCGTTGTAGTACGCTAGCGTGCCATTTTCCGGTCGATGAGGAGATGCAATGTGATAAATGCAACAAGTGGTATCATAATGTGTGCACCGGACTCGCCCCGGCCGCATATCATGGTGCTGTAAGCCATTACCACTTGGGTTGTGTAAAGCAACTTGTTCTACTAAGTCTCTGCTGATTTTGGAGGCGATCGAGCTGCTAAACTTACCTAGGGAATTGACTTCAGATAAAGAGGCAATAGCAGATGATCAGAACTCTGATTTGGAAAAAATCGAGAGCATTATTATGAGCCGAGGTCTAGACTTGAATGAGACCATAAGGGTGAACCTCATCAGGCAGACAGATAAGCATATGGATGTAGGCACTGTTACAAGGAGAAAGAAGAAGCGTGATGAGAAGAAACTACCTATAAACAGTACTATGGCATGTGAATCTGCGGGTCCAGTCTCGCATCAACATACCAATGTAATACAAACTATAGGGGTGCCAAGTCTGAGCAGTGTAGAGCAAGTGATTAGGAGATAAAATAAGGTAAATGAGTGGCTCATGGTCACACATAGGAAAAGAAAAGTAAGATAATAGACCGTAACCTCTGCGTTTGACACTGAATTGAAATCGGAGTGCGTGGAAAAGACCGTTTCAGGAACTAAAATTTCAAAGCGTGTCAAGACAGACCTCGCTGAGAGTTCTGTCATTTTTCACAAGTTCAGAGAATCTTCCGATAAGGAACCAAAGTCTAGATTTGAGCACGACCTCAGTCATATCAAGACCTTAATAAGCAAGCTACTCCCAGAAACAGTTTCGGCAGTTATCATTTGTAAGCCTTATAGAAAAGTACAAAAAGAAGATTCTGAAAGTCCTCAGAAAAACCGCTTCTTGAAGGTTACATTCACCACGGTTGAAGAAAGGAACCTGTATCTTGATAACTCACGTAATCTGATTGGATCCGGAATATATGTCCATGAGGATCTCAGCCTAACTGATCGTGAAGATGCCACAGGTATTCGGAGTTTGACAACGCTTTAAACAGTAACACCTAATATGAATCGTACCCACCGATTGAAATCAAAAGACAGAAGCGATGAGGTTCGAAGATATATTTGATAGGCTATCAATATATCGAGGATCATCTGGTCTAATCTGGCTAGCGATTGCAGGGGTTGTTGAGCACGGCGTTCCCACTCGTGATCTGGTGCGGATGCATGACCGGGCGCCTTCAGCTAGGTGAGTCCATTAAGACTAATGTGGTCAGCATCCAATATCGAAGACTTACAGAGATATTTATTTTGGGGATTTATTTACTTCCACAATCTATTAAGACACGAGCTGTAGAAATGAAAATAAACGAGCGCCGCCGAAACGATGAAAGAAATCTCATTCTTAAGGGTTTTCAAACTGTAAAAGTTCGGAGCGAAACGATCCTCAAACCATTCTGAGTTGTAAGGCAACGTTCTCCACAGACTTAAAGGTATGCTAAACAAATGCTTGCAGCCTACTGAATAAAATCGCGGAGCTCAAGTCAGGAATGGATTAAGGAAATCGGATCTTATTGTTGTCTCAGATACCTGGTTAACATCAAAGTCTTAGATAGTGAAACTCAGTTGACTGGTTTCTTATCCAGTAGGGCTGATAGATTAGACCGTAGGGGAGGCGGGGTTATCCTGTACACGAAAATTACCTTAACCATAAGAGCACTTGAAACATTAGCACATGTTTCAGGGACATGTTAACTGTTACTATGCATGCTGAAATGAAGACGGCAAAATATTGAATTAATTGTAGTATATCTCAGTTCGGAATGTGTAGCATATGATTTTCTCCTAAAAGAACTTGAGTCCTGGTGTAACAAGGGTAAAAGCCTTGTGGTAGGCGAATTTAATGCACCGTAAATAAACTGGGTTAATTTAGAAGTAGGGTCATCGATAACGTCATTTGATTGCAAACCGTTAGAAACCTCGATTGGATTAGCTCTATTCCAACACATTAGAAATCCCACAAGATATGAATTACGAAACTCTTCTTTTGGCACCCTATGATCTAAAGTCTTTCACAAACCTCAACAAAAATGCCTTTTGGACAAACTTCACACTGGAGATTCTGAAGTGCGTTTTTGACCAATTCGATGGAAGAACTGTTCACCTAACCTTCAACAATTTTATTCAACATACCAGAAAGTATCCAAGGGTGAGATATAAAATCTGTTCGATGACCCAAATTCTAGTCTTACAATGAGGGCCCCAAATCGTTTACTCTTGTCTCAGATGAACTACTCTACACAATGATATGTTAAATTTAAGTCCGTTGTTGCCTCCTCCAACTTTTAAGCAGAATCAGATCCTCCTGAAGTACATATCCCCCGGGTTTCTTAACATCAGCGAAAAGTAATAAAACGGATGATACCTGCTATGAAAGACTGCCTGTGCAAATTAGAGAAAGAAATGGTCCTATTGCTGAACCACAGGGGACCCCACCAGGACATCTCGAAGCCTGAGGAAAAAGTGGTGCCAACTATGACTTCAAAAAAGTTGATTATTTAAATATAAAGTAGGCCAATCAATTACTGGTGATTTGATACCTAACATTTTGAGCTTATTGATGAGACATGTATCACTGGTTCTATCGAAAACTTTTGAGAAGTCTAAGTTTATAACAGAAACCTTCCTCTTGTTATCAGGGATGGTTGTCCATCTGTTCACCGCGGTCAGCAGGTGGGTTATATAAGAATGACCTTGCCTGAAAACGTGTTGTTGGGGTGAAAAGAAGCTTTTGGATAGTAAGTAGTCACATAGACCGTCATATATGCAGGGCTCCATAATTTCTGAGGGTTTTTAATGAAGTACCACCGGCCGGTAGCTCGAAGGTTCTCTGAGTCGGCCAACTTTTGAAATTGGTGTAATGTGCGCCAGCCTCTTATTGTTTAGGACCGCGCCTCAGCTTGAAGAATGTGGGAAAATTGCACTAAGTGGTATCACGAAGGCTGAAGCCGACTCTCTTAGTATAGCAGAATGGACCATTTCCGGGCCAGCAGATATGTTCTTGTTTAGATACTGCGGTTTTGGACTAACCATGCCAGCACCCAGGTTCACTAAATATTCTTTGAATCAGAAATGGTACTTCTTTTGCATCTGGACACTGTAGAATTTTGGGGAATTCCAGTAACATCATCAAGATGATATTAACTGTCAGTAAAGCATACGTTATGTTCTATGCTCATGAATACTTTGCCAATTTCAAGCAATAAATTTATAATTTTGAACATCCTTGTATTGTAAACTGGAAAAACATATATAATCGAACAATATTGTTTTCAATTCTTCATATATATATATGTTGTCCTAGTAGTTCTATGTTTCCAAGTTGACAGTGTTTTAATTTCTCTTGTAGGTCACAGCTTCAGGCAGTCGTGCTGCACGCCAAGAATGGTATGTTATGTTCCGTTTCTCTCGTGGTTACTATGCCTGCCGTGATATATCGTATAACCTTACAAGTTGTTATTATTCAGGCGAACACCCATGATACTATCGAGGCATAATGACAAATAATGAAATGCAACTAATAGCTCAAATGCTTCTGTAATTCCAGGTCTCTTAGATTATTTGAATTTGGAACGTTTAGCTGTAAGAATACATTTAAGAAAACAGCTCTTAGGTACTTAAAGGTCTCAAACTGCGGTAAGTGAGTTCGTCTGTTGAGTTATACAACTTCGGCTGATTAGTCTTACGGCAGTACTACTCAAATTGAAATACTCTGAAACCAATAAGATTGATAAATAGACGAGTTTTATTGTTCGTCAGGAAATGCCGACCCATCAGACAGTCGTCTGTATGTAGCTTGAGAACTGTTGTAATTTAGGTCTTTCTATTTTGCTTATAACGCGCTGTTTTAATTTTGCTGATTACCATTTACCACTACTTTTAAAAAGTTTGTGAGACGGTGATTTCCTTTAGATTATTTACGTCAACCTCAACTAGAGAGTCAGGGTTTGTTATAGCTGCTTTGTCGAATACAAGAGATGCTATGTAGTGTACCCTCAAAGAACTACTGTTCAGGTAGACTGCCAAAAAGATCGGTCTTCAGTAATAAGGATAGTAGGTTGGCGAACCTGTATTAATCCTGAAACATTGCTTTCCAGTGAAGGTTCAGCTTCTCCTTGAAAATATTCACTGACGGGGCTGATACCACTTGTTCGGGTAAGGCGTTCCAATCATTGACTACTCGATGAGAAAAACGGGACCCCACTTTAAGTTTATTAGATCGTGGTTTATGAACCTTCTTGCTATGACCTCGGAGATTATTAGTGCTGGAGGGGGCAAAAAGATGAGACATATTAACACCCAAATCATAATTAAAGATACGAAATGCCAGTATAAGGTCACCTCGTGTCCTACGATACGACAAGGGGAAAAGATTTAGGCGTTTTAAACGCTCACCGTAAGGGAGTCTAGGATGATATTTCTCGATAGCCGTATGTATTAAAATTGCCGGTATAAAAGTAGTACACGTATTTTCTCTCACAATACAAAACCCATATCGTAGCTTTATTGAATCGAATAGAAGTTGTAGAGGTTGGTGGGTAAGACTAATTTATGGACGAGCCAATCAAAAACGTTTGAGTAATTTCAAGGACACGGCACTAAGTTTAATACGAGATGCTCGCATTCAATCGTTTTACAGCAGATTTTAGAGAAGAAGCGATTGTTGAGCGACTACAAAAGATGAGAATATTAAGAAGTTCCTGTATCTATGAATGCGGCAATCAAATGACTGCGGCACGATGTGCAGACTGCCGTGATGACATTACATTTCGTTGTACTATATGTTGGAGGAAAAAACCTGCTCGAACTGGCACTTTATTCGCTCGATCACGACTTAGACTAAGGCAAATCATGATAATTGTCTCAAATTGGATTATGAATTCATCAGTAACATTGGCTTCGGCTTTTGCAGATGTTACAGTACGTGCAGCCTGGCAGTACGATATATACCGATGATTGGAAAGCGTATAGATGCCTCCATAGACTTGAGTTTGTGTACCCTAACTCTAGCCTTAACTCTAAATCCTAACCCTATGCACTATGATTTCAGGACATCTGAACCTTTGTCTAACCTTAACAAGTTTTTAAATCATGTAAAAGAAGAATATCCTCTGTAATTCATAAGTTTTTTATAATATGTTTTTACTTTATACTAACTCTTCTGATTGGATAATAGTTGCAAGGTCACTTAAAAATTCGTTCAAAGGTCGTCCATAAAATATAGTCCTACCAGTTGTTGAGGTCCTTCCAAGTAACATTTCGAAACATTCTTGGTCTGCAGCATCATCAAGTGTTTGGAATATAAAGATCGGGAGGGCGGGACATAACTAATGCGCACTATTGAATTGGGTTTGAACAAACTTCAAGTTATGTATTGAATGCAGTAAAAGTTGCCCATATGGAGTTTTGAGTCCGTTTGTCCCATCCTTTTCAAGTCAGTTCTATTCTTTTTGCCTGGTCCTACGTTGTAGCTGACTGGCTGACTTGCTATTGGGTAATCAGCGAGACCATGTGGATGACGTTTGTTATTTAAATCTTTAGACATATTGGTCTTAGGAGGCACCACATGAATCATTCTACACGTGTGAGGGCCGGGATACGTTCCGGGTGCCAAAATCAAAGCAGGTGGTTTCCTCAGGAGGCCATACCCAGAGCCTTCGACCTAAAGTTCTAATCCACGAGGCAGTGAAGCAATGTCAGGCGATGCAGTCCCATGGTAGCCGGTGACCAACAATTGGTTCATACGCTATTTGTTTCCTCAGGGTCCTAGAGTCCATGTACACCGTTAGTTTGGAATGAGAGCTTTCCACCTCCCCTAGGTGGATCATCCATACCCACCAATCTGATAAAAGCGCCGGACATTCTCTTTTCGTCCTCTCAACTTCGTAAATAACAGTAGTGCTGCGAGAAGGCAGTAAGCAGGACTTCCCTGACAGTGGTTCTGTACGTGTGACCATGTAAGAGCATTTGGTGAGGAAGCTGACTCGCCCTCGACCGTACCAGGGTATTTGGGGAGCGCACTTTGAGCGACTTCAAAGTGGCCTTGAGAATGTCCACCTACTTGCTAGGGCTAAATGGGGGTTATTCACCTGTGTGAAGTATAAGGATCATGATTTACAGTTGATGGTTAGGGTTAGGAATTATGTTTATGGTTTTCATCACTAACTGCCTTCATAAATGTATGTTAACTTGGTTTTCAGTTCACAATGTGCCTAAACAAATGTGCTTCACTTTGGGCACCCAGACAGTATCACAGCCCCCACACATCAAATGAGATTTGTTTGGCACATATGTATTTGGTGCCTCCTTGTTCCAATATCTGTGTTTAAATAAAATAAAACAAATGTAGCGTAATTCCAGATTGATATTTTGACAAATATTCTTATCCTAACTCAGAATTTCGTTTAAGACAAAGTGTTTCTGCTCCAGTTACCCTGATTTCGGGAGTTTCAAAATGAGTTTTCGCGATCCCATTTTGTTGGACTGCAGCCAACGTGTTGATGTTGTCACTTCGACTGATATTAATGGTAAGTAAACATCTAGCATAGATACCATGCCGGTGAATAGAAAAAGTCATGGTTTCGCGCTTCACGTCGATTACACCCAACATCAACCCCCAAATTTCATCTTACCTTGAGACACTGTTCCACACTACTGTTTTATCAAAGGTTTTCTGTAAATGCTGAGTTTATGAGGAAATATGTAACATGTTTTGGCTCATGTTGTACCTAGGAAATGTTTTTTCTAGTGTAAATTGACATAACTTCAATCATTTGACTCGATTTTTGTTTCCTATATGCTTCTTATTTTTTCATATTGTTTTTTTCAGGGTATTGATATCTGTCACAGATACGATAGAAAGGTAAAGAGGAAAAATCCAAAAAGCGATGATGTGTACCTTCGTCTGCTTGTTAAAGCGTACAAGTTTTTGGCACGCAGAACCGGTTCAAAATTCAACAAAATAATTATGAGGAGACTTTTTATGAGCAAAATCAACAAACCTGCCCTGTCTCTGGCACGCTTGATGCGAGTAATGAAGAAAGGCGGACGTGAAAATAAAATCGCTGTTTGTGTTGGAACAATCACTAATGATACGAGAATACGAGAGTTCCCAAAAATGAAAGTGAGTAACTTGAGAAGTTTTCAGAATTCTTTTGCGAACTCGTTCTTCCGATGTAATACATTTTAATGATTATATGTATTTACAGGTGTGTGCTCTTCGAGTAACCGCGGCTGCCCGTGAACGGATTTTGCATGCTGGTGGAGAAATAATCACTTTCGACCGTTTGGCAATTCTCAGTCCTCTGGGAAAAAATACAGTGCTTATTCAGGGACCGAGAAAAGGAAGAACTGCTGTCAAGCACTTCGGCCCTGCACCTGGAGTACCAGCAAGCCATACGCGACCCTACACTATTTCAAAGGGTCGTAAGTTCGAGAAATCTAGAGGTCGCCGTGCTAGTCGGGCTTACAAAAAGAAAGGTGGACATTAAAAATATACACTTACGAGAATGCTTTCTGTTTGAAGTTTGGTTGGAATAAATTATCGATAATGAAGACGAACGTGTTTCTCATTTTGGACTAATACCAGTCCTAGTACATTCGTCTATGTCTGGATGGTGAAACATTTAGTTTTAAAGAATCCAAACATGTATATATAAGTACAATTAGTAAAGATGTCCAGTCTTGTCACGTGTTGTGATCTTGTTTCGTTAGTATCATGAAGAAACGAAGCTATAAATCAACTAAGATAAGGTGCCAACTTGGGCTGAAGCAAATTAGATCGTGTTGTGTTCATAATTGATTTATTGGTTTCACAATGTCGACGCTTCCCTATAGACTATCAGTGGTAAGTTTTTAGTAGACTAGCGGATTTACTTTGGATGTACTTGTATCATGAAACCTTGTTTCCCTAAATGACTAGTGAGTTTGCTTCATCCGGTGCGTCGAAACGTTATATCATGCTTTTGTAATAGGATGTTTATAGTTATACACCTTTAACTTTCATCAGTGGTGATTTGTTCCAAAGACAGTTTTCTTTCGGGCATTCTTAGACAAATAATCTGTGTCATTCGTTCACAATTGTACAACCAACGGTATTGGCTGACGTTCTCTTACTTAAAAGCTATATTTAACTCATCCAGTTCTGAGTTTCGTTTTATTAGGCCTCATCTGGATACAGATGAATAAGTTAACTCTAGAGTGTTCGATCAATTAAGTGACCATTTTTGGAAATTAAGGGCTTTTTTAATGTCTGAATCCAGTCAGCTACCTGCGTATGAGTGTCCATAATTACCCAATTACTGTCAACCTGATTGTCCATTTGATAAGTCTTGCTAATTGAACGCTATATTCGGTTCCTAAGCTATTTTCGTAACCCCCCAACCCAGAACTACACTACGACCTGAACACGATAGAAAGGGTGCAAAATGTGCAAGAAGCACTTTACTCCAAAGGTTTGTTCTAGTACAGAAAATTAAGGGTTTTTATAGTATTTTAGATGTCCTAGGGTCTCCCGAAAATTCTAGAATGCTACTAGACATAGTAGCAGTATAGTAGTCAGCCAGTCAGAAACTGCATATGTGACTTTTCACTTTCTTGACGTTTCTGGCTAAAATTATTGTGAACGCTGATTGAATAAAATGCTTGTTAGTATTACCTGAGCCTTTCTTGGCTTTTACGAGAAGTTTTCTGGACCACCCCAACAACATTGAAACCCGTTTTTCTAAGAAGACCGAAGGTTACAGTTATGACACAAATATTAGATTATTCATAAGGATAAGATTTAGTTTTGACATGCAGTTCCATTTACCAGTTTTTCTTTGTTGATTTACAAAAAATGAAAGCGTTTGCCTTCTAACTATTGTATCATTAACTAGTTATACAGTTATCATGTAAATCTATATGACGTAATATTAGAAAATGTTACCGACAGATGGCTAAATAATCAGTTAATAGTTATTGCAAACAGCCCTTGTATTCGTTCAACATGAATTTGTTCAAGAATCAAAGGGAATATTGATTAGGTTTTATGAATCCATACAAATCTCAGTTAACCTAGCAAGGTTAGTACTTCAAGTATCTGTATTAAAATTCAGAAAGTCCTCATATTATGATTAGAACAACATATATGAGCGAACAATGTTATTTTCCATTAGATTCTCGTCAGTTTGTCTATCAGTAAGGAAATGGTACTTGTACATTGGAGTAAACGGTATGAAAACTTGACTTTTAGTGGCGAAGCAGTTGGAAAGTACGGAGGCTCGACCCGTGAAAGATTTCTGAAGAAATGTACTTGGAGATTTATGTAGGCTGCATGATTTCATAACTGGCACATCGGTATAACAAGACCGATTAGTCTTTAGTGCTTTAAAGTACTAAAATATATATGAAAAGTAGTAGTATCGGTAGTAGTAATCACATTAAGCTTAGGGAATATGATTCGAACAAAATAAAGGTTATGGAATATTCTCATGGAAAGATAGCAAATGGATTTAAATATTCCGAGCCATGTAATCCAAAGTTTCGGATCGTTAGTTTCATTAGTGGCGCGAACCCCAACCAAGTGACCTGGAACTGCCAACATGAGTTCAAGTGAGTGAATTTACGGACCGTTTCTACTTTCTGACTTCCTGTCCCCTAGGTATTCTATGCCTTCTTAAACAAGCGAACATCGCCCGTCTAGGGAATTGGTTGGCGGGTATGTGTAATCCAACCATCCCAGTCTATAAAAATTCACTGCCAATAACTGGTTTGTGCATAACACTGCATCTAAGCTCAAGAGTAATCATTCAGCGGCCCTAACACCGGACCAATACTTTAAAGACATCGGACATTGGTAACTTGGGAATACCATTTGATCTTAAAAGATATCGCGTAAAAGGAAAGACTGCAACATGGCATACTCGCCATCGGATTCGGAACTGAACGATTCACCTACGCCACAGGTGGGAGTCAGGAAAAACCAACCGAGTTTTCTGAATCTGTGGTGAGATTTTGTTATACCCAACCCGTCAGGGTAGATGAGATTCAAAGGATATGTAAAGTTGTCATCACACTCAACTGTGATCAGTGTGAACAAGAAGACTACTTTTGAAGCAGAACTACGTTTCAAGGGTAGTTAATTGACCCCAAACGTGGTTGCATTTTTACTCATGAGTATCAGAAGTTTGTATTACTTCGGCGTCAGTAAGTGAGATTGTGTCATCTGCGTATTTTAAGTCGGTAGATTAACCTTTTAGTAGATCTCTCTGAGTGTTATTTTGAGATTGTTTCTTAACGTAGTGAGTAACAAAGGTTGAAATTTAAAAGCTATATCTATTATGGGACGCAACTTCGCCTGTAGTCCCTCTGTGGGCTACTGCCGGTCCCAAGCCCGGAAAAAGGAGGAGGGTTGGGCATGCGGTTGGTAACCCTATCCCGTAGAACACTAACACGCTAAAAAAACGCTAACCAGGAAAATTATTCAAACCATTTAAACTCTGCCCTGAGTGCCAGGTCTTCATTTAGAAGTGTTATGACGCCTCATGATGGAGGCCGAGTTTCTTCGGAAGTCACGAGGTCGATGCCCCTTCTGACAACCAGAGCAACCATTTATTTAGGTACATGGAATGCTCGTACAATATGGGAGACCGAGAGTCTTCCAAATCGCTGCAGAAATGAGAAGATACAACCTAGAGGTGCTTGGGATCAGTGAAACATATTGGACGAAAGTCGGACAACAACGACTAGCTCCAGGGGAGCTTCTGTTAAGAAAATGCCCCACATACACAAGAAGTTGCATTGATGTTGTTCAAACAAGCACAAAATGCACTTATAGGATGGGATCTCATGAATTAAGGATCATCAAAGCCTCCTTCAAATAAAAGAAATGGTGCATTTCAATGAACATCATCCAATGCCATGCGCCTACCAAAGACTACAATGAAAACGCTAAAGATCAACTCTAAGACGCAGTTAGTCGTCGAGTAGTGCCCAACAAAGGACCTGACCATTCTGATGGGAGATTTAAATGCCAAGGTTGGAGCGGACAACACCGGATATGGAACGACACGGACTGGGAGAAAGGAACGAAGATGGTGAGAGATTTGCAAACCTATGTGCCTTTGATAAGCTGGTCATAGGTGGCACCATATTCCCACACAAACGCATTCACAAAACCACATGGACTTCACCGGATCACACCACGCAAGCCCAAATCGATCATATCTGCATCAACAAAAAGTTCAGAAGAACGATGTAGGACGTGAGAACCAAAAGAGGAGCTGGTATAGCATCAGATCATCACTTGCTGGTCGCCTTGATGAGATTGAAACTCAAGATGCACTGGACAACGGGGCGGACAACATCACAAAAGTTCAATATGGCCTTTCTTCGGGATACTGACACTCAAAAATTCATGATATCCTTCAGAAATAAGTTCCAGGCCTTCCATGATCTACTCATTGGAGAAGGAACTACTATGGAGAGCAACTGGAAAGGGATATAAGAGGCAACCACTTCAACATGTAATGAGGTTCTGGGCCAAAAGCACCATCACAAGGAATTGATAACTGTTGATACTCTGGATAAGATTCAAGAAAGGAGGAACAAGAAAGCAGCAATCAATACCAGTCGAACAAGAGCAGGAAAAGCCAAGGCACAAGCTGAATACACAGAAGTAAACAAACAAGTGAAGAGAAGAATCAGAACCGACAAACGTAAATATGTGGAAGATCTAGCAACGACGGCGGAAAAAACTACAAAAGAAGGGAACATGAAACAACCGTATGACACAACAAAGAAACTCTGGAAATCACTGTAAACCAGAATGACGAGTGAAAAGCAAGGAAGGCGAGGTAATCACCAACATTGAATAACAACGAAACAGGTGGGTAGAACACTTCAAAGAACTCTTGAATCGATCAGCTCCACTGAACCACCCAACATCGAAGCAGCACCCACGGACCTCCCAATCAATGTTGGCCCACCAACAATTGAAGAAATCAGCATGGCTATCAGACAAATCAAGAGTGGAAAAGCAGCAGGACCAGATAACACTCCAGCAGAGGCACTAAAAGCAGACGTAACAGTAACTGCAAAGATACTCCACATTCTCTTCAATAAGATTTGGGATGAGAAACAAGTACCAACAGACTGGAAAGAAGGACTTCTGGTCAAAATACCAAAGAAAGGCGATCTCAGCAAGTGTGATAACTACCAGGACAAGTCTTCAACAGGGTATTGTTAAACAGGATGAAGCACTCCGTAGACGGCCAACTTCGAGACCAACCGATAGGATTCCGTAAGGATAGATCGTGTACAGACCAAATCGCAACTCTACGGATCATTGTGAAACAATCAATTGAATGGAATTCATCACTCTACATCAACTTCATTGACTACGATAAAGCATTTGATAGCGTGTACAAAACAACACTATGTAAGCTTCTTCGACACTACGGTGTGCCTCAGAAGATAGTCAATGTCATACAGAATTCATATGATGGATTAC